GAGTTGCCGGGTCACAGGGCATGTGAATCTTAAGGTTTAATCGTGCAACCCAATTGCTTTGAAACATAACTGGGCCAACAACCTGTCACCCACCAGCAAGGTGGGATTCCTGCTTTCCACACCCTGCCAGCTCTTGATTTACAGATTTATATTCTTTTTAATATTTGCCCCATTGGATCTGAGATGGTTTCTTGTATTTTCACCTGCATTTTCCTTATTTTGCTGAGGTCAACTCTCTCTTCCTGTAATTATTTGCTTTTCCATGGTTCAATTTCTACAAAGGATATGTGACTGAAAGAGCAGAAGGCTTCCTGCTAGTTCTGGTGGAATCCGTTTTTGTGAGAGATCTAAACCTTCTGCTTTCTTCCCAAATGGCTTTGCTGTCTCAGTACTAGTTGACTAATTCCTTCTTTTCCCTACTGACTTGAAATGCCACTTTTGTCATTTACTCAGTATACCTTTGTGTTTCTTTATGGATTCTCAGCTCTTAATAGAGACTTGTTTTTGGCATCAGGCACCTGAGTTATTCTTAACTTGGTTCCTGAATGGTAGCTGCTTTTGTCAGCCAAGATATGTTTTTTTGTGAGACAATAGACAATATAATTCATGACACACAAATCCTGTTCTAGCCAAGTTAGATTTAAATCAGTTTCATTATCTACTAAAAACTTAGGGTATTAAAAAATGTGTAAACTTCTATCACAGGCTAATTTCTCTTTTGCGGGAGTATCTCATAGCCTCCAAGTAGAGGTGGGAGGCTTTTTTTTTTTTTTTTTTAACCAGTTCCTCTTTCTAAAAGCATTGTTTAATGTTAGAGCTCCTTAGGTGATTTGAAGTTGTTTCCTGGCAAAGGCACAGGGTTTCACATGACATGGCAATGTCACTGTTATATACATGAACCTTTCATCTAATAAAGTCTGAGGTCCACACACCATGACACTGAACCTGAAACTGGCACTGTGCTGCTCCAGCTTTGGCCTGTCCATGGATCCTGAGCTCTGGGAGGGCACGGATCATGTCCTTTTCATCTTTTTATCCCCAAATGTCTCGTACAGGGCACAGCACCTACACTAAAAGAGAATGGAATCACATTTCTACAATGTTTTTGTAAAACAAAACAATGTAACCCAAATTCCTCCTGAACTTCACTTTTGGCTGCTTCATAATTTATACATTTTTTTCTTGTCTATGCAAGTCTGCCACCTGATTAAGTGATACTGTATATTTATTTCTAGTAGTAATACTAGAACTAGACACTGACCTGATAGTACCTCGTGCACATGTATGGACTTGCTCTGGTTTGATCTACCTATAGATACGTTGCTTGCCTGTGAATGACAGCAGAACTGTGATCTAGAAAACATTCTGGATGGCAGCGGGCAAGAGCACTTTGTTGTTACATGGGAACATTGCAGGCATGCTGGAGGCTGGAATGAGAAGGTAGCCTCGATTTTTTTCATGGGAGAGTTGAAGAGTTGCATTTGTCTTGTTTTAAAATTCAGTTCTTTTTCCAAGTTAGCATACCTTTGCCTTCCCTTTTTTGAGGGGTAACTATGGCTTCTGTAGACAATGTCTTAAGTCTGTAAATCTCTGGATCTGAGACATTAGGCTGCAGGAAAATTCTTCAAACAGCCTAATCTATCAGTTTCCCTGTGCAGAGAAAGAAAAATAAAGCTAACTCACCCTCCAGGTATGTTAAACCAATGAACAAGGTTCATTGACCAAGTGGACTGTGCCAGTGCAAAACACCAGCTTCTTACTTTGCTTTGCCATCAGTAATCTTGAAAAGCTGTCTTAGTTTCTTTATCTGATGATTCCATTAAGGGGCGGGGGTGGAGGGGGAGTGCAGATGTCTGTGAACTTGAACCTGCTTTATACAGTGCCTCACGTAGCATTTTTTCTCTCTGCCATACCAATTGTACCCCACTCAGGAAATAGTAACCATAGCACTTATATAGGTGATCCTTCCACCTACAAAGAGAATATATGTACTTGAAGAGCAGATCTCGGTATGGATTTCTGTGACCTGGTACAGAATTAATGAGACAAGGATATATTCTGGAATGTCAAAAAAAGGTAAGCTGGTGCAAATGTACCTCACAGAATAATAAACGAGTAGTATTGCTAGAAAATAAAACATGGATTACTAGGAGGCTGGAGAAGGGCAGTGGTAGGGGGCTGCTGCCTGAGCTGGGGACTGATCTAGAAGTCTGCTGGATTGATCTCCCTCAAAGGACAAAAGGCTAAAACTTGGCAAAATCTAGTCTGACTAGTGTTACCAGGACCTGCAGTGGAGCCAGAAGCCATTCATCCTTTCAGAGAGCAAGAAACATCTCTTTAGGGAAAGGCTTTGAAATTATGCTAATCCTAGTCACCATAAAAGGATTAAATTTTATTAACCTTTAGGGCTGAATTGACAGAGGCAGAAATTGATCATCAAGGTTCCTCCATGTCCCCCACTCTTTTATTAGATTCTTGAAATTTCTTTTAACAGGAAACAAAGACTTTGATTTCATAGATATATGAAATATATGGCTGTTGGACATAAAAGACGGACTCAAACTTTCAAGTATGAGTTGGGGCTCTTTGATTTTCCTTGAAAGGGCAAGGAAACAAGACATCTGATGTTGGGAATGGAACATCCATTGAAAAATGGCACAGAAAGGCCCGACACAAACTTCCTCCACCAGCTTCACAGGAACTGCCTGTGCAACTCTGCCTTTTCATCATTTCTTCTCTGGATTCCTGTTGTCCCTCCAAAATTATTTCCTAGCTTCCAGTTTCAGCCCGCAATCGACTTCCCATCTGCCACTCTATCTGAGCATATCATACTGCTTAAAACCATTCAATAAATTATTCTTGCTTTCGAATAGGTGCCAAGACCACCAGGGCTAGTGGGGTCATCACTGCCACTCTGTCTCCCAGGAAATTCTGGGGCTCACTTAAGACTCTTATTCATGCTCTCTGCTTTAAACCCCTGAGCACTGTTTTCTTGTGCTTGGAATGCCTTTCCACTTGGCTCTTGTAACCTAAAACTCAGATATCACTTCTTAGGAAACCTACTCTGACAAAGCCATCTTTTGTACAAGTACCAAGTAAGGTTTTTCCCCCCAACTGTTGCTTTGTATCTGTTGTCTGTAACCTTAAACTGTAAATCTTGAGGACTAAGCTTTGTCTTTTTAACAGTATTATTGAAGAGAACTCAATCATATCAACCACTGGGCTAAATAGCTTCATTTATAACTTAATTATGAGTTAAAATAACTAAATATTTAATCTCAGCTCCCTACTTTTTTTTTTTTGGCGTGTTGTCTTTTTGAGATGTTGCAAGTTCCAACATCACACTGGAATTACATAAGATGAATTTTCTTTGGGGAAGATCAGATTTGAATTATACACATATAACTGTATTAGAAAAATTTCTACTTTATGAATTCCTGGTTGGCTAAATAAACCAACAGAACACTTATGTAGCACCCAAGTCTGTAGACACTGCATTGAGAAATTAGAGATACACGACATACCTATAAGACTGCCCCCAAATTGGAATTTCAACCAGTTAATATTCTATTTGGAGCAAGAGACCCAAAGCTTCAAGGTAAAACTGAAAGTTACTCAAGATCCTAAACAAACTAACCCATTGGGGGGAATGCTCAGCACTTCCAAATACAAGTCTAATAGCTTTTCCACTTTATCCCCAACTTTAGAGTTCGGAGTGTGCCTCACGGGAGGTGTGGATGTAGGGACTTCTCTTTGCAGCTTTTTTTTTAGTGGGGGTGGGAGGTGCCGGGCTAAAGGGAGAATTTTGAGTCCTGATGGAAGGAGAAAGTAAGCAGAGGGCAGGCACAATAATTTTGTATTTCTGACATTGCACCATGAGTTCTCACATCACTGAACTGAAAAGACTATTAGTATTTAAGGCTCTTGATACTTATTGCCAAATTTCTTTCTCAAGTACACAGAAAAGCCTGACTTACTACATTAAGCCCTGTTATTTAAAAGACACAACAACTGGTTAAAAATATTAACTTGTATTTCTTAGGTTACTAGAGGTTGAAACTTCAGAAACCACTTTATTTCTCCTGTGAATGGTTTCCTCTCCTTTTTAACATTAGTAGTGACTGCTGTTACCATTTTAAACTTTAACATATTAATTTTCTTGATCACAGCTACTATCCTTTATAAAATATTTCTGTCCCCAGAACCAAAAATTTATCTCTTACTTTCACGAAAATTGCAACTTTTTTTTTTTTCCTTCCCAGTGCTGGGGATCAACAACTGCAGGGCCCTGAACGTGCCAGGCAAGTGCTCTCCCACTGACAACATTCCCAGCTCTCCAAGCTTTTCTTGCATATTTTTCTTTGACTGAGTGAAGCACTCACTGTTAGCACTGAAGGGTGCACGCAGCACATCTTTTGGTTAACACTTCCACAGCAAAGCTTCGCATTCTATCTCACCCACTGTGGCTCTACTTCACGTTCTTAGGGTGACTATCAAGCCTATATAGATAATAACTAGAAATATTTGAAGGAACTAACATTAAAAATGTGTTCGCTGAAAATACATCCTGCAGCACAACTAGAATATAAAATATTTGGTAATCCCATGTACATCTCAATTTTATGCCTTTTGTTTGTGGATAATCTGATTAAGCTTTTATTTCAAATAAAGAACACTTATCCTCTTTAACATGGAGAGGTAACTACCATTTCTCATTAATTCCTGATTAGTTCACTGGCTATAGATAGAGCACGTTAATTTCTACAGGCACCTTTCTGAATTCAAGTAAAAGTTTTGGTAGACAAGGATTTCCTACTTAATGTAATATGATTATTGAGTACAAATATTGCTCACCATTCTAGCAATCTTCAAATTATTTACTTTGAAAATTTAAGAACTATCATTAAATCATTAACAACACAGGTTTTCACATTTAAGGAATACTCTGAACTGTGAAAATACAAATCTAGTCAAATTTTGAACACATATAGAGCCACATATTTCAACAAAACTGCAGTTTAATTTCAGAAAATGTGTTAAAATATATATTTATACATCAATTTCTGACATACACTTAATGTGTTAGTATACACAAAATGATGCTTTCTCTTGAAACTGTATTTATGAAATGTACATTTTAATTTAAATACTCAGTATACACTGCACTTAATCTGCATGTTGCATTTATTAAATACATTAAAATCTGCAATGTAACAAAACGTTTTCTGCATACGAAATTCAAAACACCATTTTAAATGAACAAAAGATGGCTCACTTCATTTTTGTTTTTGTACAACTAGCGTTTTGCACACTAGCTCAGCTCCACCAAACCACCTGTTCGTTCTTTTTTTATTTGACATTGTTCACAGACTAGTACATATTACAATAAGAGTGCTGGATAAAAACATGAGGTACGAAAGTGGTTCAAAGATTATAGGTCATGCAGATCATGCTAGACAGCAAAGAAAATTGTGACCGAGAAAACACTAAATAAAAATACATAAAGAATGTGCATTATATATATATATATAAAAAAAAAAAAAAACAAAAAACAAAACAAAAAAAACCCCAAAAAACAAAAAAATCAAAAAACAAAACTCCATTACACAGCTTTGCTTCTTTGGTTACAAAGTAGGTTGAACAATTTCACAGCTTTTTATTCCCAACCAAAAGAAAAGTCATACGAAATGTCAGAAAGCAGAGGAATCGTGGCAATTTCTCTATTAGAAAGTAGAAACAAATGAACAAAGTTTTCTTCATCAAAATAGCCCAATTATTTATTATATCACAATAACTGGTGACTACCTGTACAGCTGCACTACGTTCTTCATACTTACACTATACAAAATTTACATTCAAGCTGGGTCTTTACTACTGAAAATAAATACCAAAGCTAAATTGCCATTAGTGTTAGAAATATGCCAGGATTCTTTTGTTCAATTATTGCCTAAACGTTTTATCTATTAAATGCAATCCTGTCTTTCAATTCCTTTACTGATATTTATAATTATTCAAAAAAATTAAAAAAGTTCTGTGACATTGTTCATGTACATTATGAAAATAGCAGCCCTGTAATAAATAAAACACAAATAAATGAAAACTTATGTAGGCAAATGTTACTGATGTTGAAAGAAAAGTGGCTCTTTAGATGAACTGTTACTTATAATGTGGTAAGAAGGCTCAAGGTAAATCCATGGTAACAGGAAACATGGAGAGCCACCAAAACTCTTAAAGACCCTACTCATGCGCACCAGGTGAAATGCAGACTTCTGCTTGCTTTAGAAAACCCCATCTATTATTCTCCGTGTGTACTGATGACATAGAACTGGACATCGAAAGCGCTGCATGACATCTTAGAGAGGAAAAGCTCTTGTAGAATGATTGTCTAATACTGAAAAGGCCAAACACACAACCAAAGCATGGCTACTTGCTTTCGTATAAAGTGGGAAGAACAGCAGTGGCACACAGATGGATTGCTGTCAGTGTTTTCCTTAGTGAGGCTTAAGAAAGCTTATGCTGAGGAGACATTCGGCTGCTGTGGAGGCTGCGCAGGCGGTGGAGGCTGTGCTAGCACTGCTTGCTGCTGAGAACTGCTACCAGGATTGGCCTGTTGGGCTGGGAGCTGGGATAACTGATCATTGTTTGAAAGAGATTTTAACAGTGCATTTTCTCGTTCAAGTAAAGAGTTTCTTTCAACTAATTCTTTTATTTGTTCCTTTAGAACTTCCACTTCTTCTCTTACTGCATACATCAAATGGCTTTTCACCAGATCCTGTGAAAAACAAAATTAGGAATATCAAAAATAGAAAGGAAAAGGCATTGCTTTTTGGTTCTAGACTACTTGGTGCCCTGTAAACACAAAGTGTTTTTTATAAACACAGTGTTTTTATATGTTTTACTGCTCTTGCTTTTAATGTTCCTGCTATATCATGACTAGGCCTATGGGTGATGGGTTGAGTAAAATCTAGTTCTCAACTAGAGCAGCAAGTCCCCAGTTTTTTTTCTTTTTGAGACAAGTTCTTGATATGTTGCCCAGGCTAGCCTTAAATTTACAATCCTCCTGCTGCCTCAGCCTAAGTAGCTGCGATTACATGTATGCACCATCAAAGTCTTCTTTTCATAATTTTGGGTGATTTCCAATAATATTCACTCCACCAAATCAATTTAAGCTTAGAATTAAAAAAAAAATGTTTAAAAAAAACCACATGCTTACATGTTGGAGTAATGCTCCAATGAAAAAATGATATTAAATCAGCCGCAGAACTACTTCAGAGAGAGATAAAGTGACAGGGATTTAGACTGGCATTTACTTGAGAATTCTGATTATACTTTCTATATTTTTATTTCTACCAGGCAAGATTGAGTTAACTCTATTCTTAAACATATTTAACTACTTCAAAATGTTAAGCTTTAATATCAGTTTTAAACAACTGAAAAAACTCAAAAAAATTGTTTATTGCTTCTTTTATGATTAAAATCCTGTAGCAAAGGAATAGATACCATGCTATTTTTTAATCTAACAAACACTTGTCTTTGATTTCTTTTACAGAAGAAACAGGCTTACAAGATATGGATAATGTAATTTCCAACTTTAAAATCTTAGAATTTATTTTTCCTAACAGTCTGAGATCAAGAGTCCTTATTTATAGCTCATCTATACTTATAATGATTTTTTTTTGTTTTTTCCTTGTGGTGCTGGGATTGAAGTCAGGGGGTGCTTTATCACTGAAATATATCCTATCCCTTTGTATTTTCTGAGACAATCTCATTAAGTTGCTTAGACTGGCTTTGAACTTGTGATCCTCCTACCTCAACCTACCAAGTTGCTAGGATTACAGGCATGGGCCACCATGCCTGGCTACTTTAAATATTCTTGAATCAATGTATTTTAAGGGAACACCCTCCCCCTCCAAAAAAATGATGGCAATAGCAGAAACCAGAACCTGAAACCAGTCCACTCATTGAAGCTCATGGAGACATGGCCTTTGATGAAATCACCATGCTCAGCTGCGTGATTTCACTGGTCCCTTCCAATGGCCCTTCCTCAACCGTGATGCATGAAATGTAACATGTCCAAATGGGAGAAATATTTACTCAGCTTGTATCTTTAGACTAAAAATTCTCAATGTTCTAACATTTTCAATTAAATCTCATTACCAAAAAATATAATCTAGTCAACTTTTAAGAAATTAGATCTTTGTTATCTAGAATTGATAAGTACAAAGTGTTTCACAGGACACACAATCTATGAAATTAGAGGACTATAAACTTTTACTTACCATTGCTTGTTCTATTTTGTTGTCAATGGCTACAACACCTCCCCCAGATGCACTGGAAAAAATTAGAATATTTCATTAAATTATTCTAAAAAATTTAATCTCCCTTCCAACTCTTAATAATGTAAAAGACATTTGTTTTATTTAAAACCAAATATGATTGCTTAAAATAGCTTATTAATAAGTCTATTCTCCCAATTTCAAAACTCCAGAGTTCTATTAAAGAGAGGATCTCAGTAAATGGATGACTTCTCAAATTCCTTTGTAGTTCCAACATTTATAATTTGCCTACAATATGCATATGCTGCCTTAAAAGTAACTCTCAATTTTATTCAGAAGATCTCATTTCAGTGGTCTTCAAAGGATAGTCTGAATGAGTAGTACCCTTTTATCTCTTACACTTCACTCTACAATCAGTCTCATCCCTCTCGTGTGGAAATCCCAGTGATTACTTGTTGTGTTAAAACTCAGATGATGATTTAGAGATGGCCTCTAAAAACAATACAGAGGGCTTTGGGGGCACAGCTGGTTAACAAGGAACTCAACATTCTGGTAGACCTACATGCTTTGATTATAGGTTACCTGCTGGCAAAAATCACCTAATAAGGCATGTGGGTTAGACCAGTTTTTCCTGGAAGCAACTGAAAGCAGTCTAGCCAGGACGTACACATCCCAAATTCAAATGCTATTTCAGCACTTGTTTGCTAATGACTTAGAAGGCTGAATATTTGTCCTCTTTGGTGGTTTATAGTCTCCCATGTACTAAGTAATAAAAGTAGGAAGACTCTATATTTTCTTATTGGTATTTTTATTAATTTTGAAAAACAGTAGTAGGTTTTAAAAAAATCACTCTTGTAAAAGAACATCTGATAACTTTATTATGTAAATATAAAGGTCTTTAAAATAATTTTTATACAAAACATTTCTAAATATACAAAGTCAGAAGAATTTGGTACTAAAATACCAGAATACTATTTTACTTTAAATGGTTATATCAGATTAAGCCTCAGAAATATATTGTTCAAAGTAGTTGTATCTTTTAGATTGTGATCAAAGAAGATCTGGTTATAATTTGGTTTTGCTACTCACTTACCCACCCCTGTGACCATTAGCAAATCATCTACTTAACTTCCTTGGACCTCAGTATCCCCATTCATAAAATGAAGGTGTTGGTGTCAAAACTTTAATGAACTTTCCACTTCTAAATCCCTGAAACTCTCGGATTTAGAAATTGAATTAATACACGGAAAACACTATGTTTTGTTTATTTGAGCATTAACCACATTGATTACAGCATAATGTTTCACTCATTGCTGTTGCCATTTCTAAGATGAAAAGGGTTTTGTATACCTAATAACTGGAAAGGATATACAGATCGTTAACAAATACTTTATACATAGTGGGCTTTAAATGCTTGTAGAGGGCTGTACAAAGTAAAATAAGACTATATGCAACTATAAATTACAGAAGTATATACACTATGAGGATATAGTGTAACATTCAGTGCCAGAACCAACCATACTTGGGCAAAAAAAAGATGGTGACAGGGATTTAGATGAGCATTTGCTTGAGAATTCTAATTATACTTTCCATATTTTTATTTCTACCAGGAAAGATTCGATTAATTCTATTCCTTTGACATATTTTATTTAAATACTTCGATATGTTAAGCTTAATATCAGTTTTAAACAACTCAAAAAACTCTTAAAAATGGTTTATTGCTTCTTTTTAAATGATTAAAATCCTGTAGCAAAGGAATAGTTACCATGCTATTCTTTGAATGTTAATTTAAAAACTCTTGTCCTTGATTTCTTTCACATTAGAAACTGGCTTACAAGATATGAATAATGTTGTAGGTATATAGATGCATATCCTAATTTATGCATAATATTATAGGTACATATCCCTTGAAAGGTACTAACCCATTCTGTCCCATTGTACTAGATGTGGAAAACCTCAAAAACTTAAATGCTGTATATATTTAAGTATATGATAGGTGATCATATATTCTGCTACTAAAAATGTAATTATGATTATAATATTAATATAATATTTATAAGCTCTAGAATATTACTGCCACTTTTTTTTAATGTACATGTGTAATTCTGTGGAAATATTTACAGAATTGAAAACTCGGGACTTTATGGGTTAGTAGTTCTAGTCTGTTGAGTGCTGTACTCTTAATAGAATTAAATCAGTCACAGACATGATTATTAATACTATAATGACCTGTGACTACTCTGATTGCTGTTACTTTACTCAGTAACCTAATGCAGTGGTCTCAAGCTAGCATACAGTCATCTGGAGGTTTGGTAAAAACAGACTAGTGGGCTCCGCCCACCCACCAGTTTCTGATTCAGCAGGAATAGGGTAGACCAAGCAATATGCATTTCTTTCTTTCTTTTTTTGGGATGCTGGGGATTGAACCCAGGACCTATGCATTCGAGGCAAGCACTCTACCAACTAAGCTATATCCCCAGCCAATATGCATTTCTAACAAGCTCTAGATGATGCTGATTCTGCTACCTGACCATATTTGAGAACCACTGGCTTACAGAGATGACAGTTATAGAAGGAAAAATAAAAGGGGGGGGGAGGAAAAATATCCCTAATTCTAATATAAAAATTTCAAGGTTGGTATACAAAATTCTTCATGACCTTGACCTATGCCTTATATGGTCTCTTTTTAGTTCTTACACTCCATCTGGCCTACTGCATTATGGTCTTATATAACTACCTACAATCTGAGGAATACAAGCTCTCTCAGGTTTCTTTGGCTTTGAAGAAAATGCTCCCTCATTTGGAAGTGCAACTGTCTTCCACTTATTCCTTAAGATTCTCCAGTGCCATCTCTGATACCTTTTCTAAGCAGAGTCAATTATTCCATTCCTCCTGCAGTCCACCAATATTCACATTTTTTTTTTTTTTTTTGCAATGCAGGAAGGTAGAAAAGCAAATTCTGGCTCCTCCATATACTCACTGTGTGAATTTTTAGAAATTATTTAACATTTACAATTTTTTTCATCTAAAATAAGGATTATATGCACTAATTCATGAAAATCTTGTGAGGATTAAATGAGTTTTAGTAGTACTTGAAATAGTTCCTAGCACACTGAGCATTCAATACATAATAATGATTATTTTTACCACTATAATACTGCCACCGTTGATCCTGTTAGGCTGATCTCCCCCCCACACACACCTTTTTTTTTTTTTTTTTTGTATTGGAGATTTAACTCAGGGCACTATATCACTGAACCCTGAACCATATCCCTTTCTATTATTATTTTGAGACAGGATCTTGTTATGTTGCGTAAGGGCCTTGCTAAATTGCCAAGGCTGGTCCTAAACTTGCAATCCTCCTGCCTCATCCTTCTGAGTTGCTGGGATTATAGATATGTGCTATCATGTGTGGTTCCTTTGGCTAAATTCTTCAGGAGGTTCCATATCTTCACTTCTGTGAAGATGTGAATACAGTGCTTGGCACATAAGAGCTCAAATGTATACTGGCTGTAATTAGAAATGGTAGTGATCAGATCTGAAACAAACACTGGATGACACTGGGAAGCCATCCAAAAACATTTATTAGTTTGGGTTATGGGGACTGACTCCAGGGGCACTTTACCACTGAGCTACATCCAAGCCCCCTAACTCCGCTTTTAAATTTTGAGACAGGGTCTAAATTGCTGAGGGTCCCACAGACTTGTGATCCTCCTGCCTCAGCCTCCCAAGTCTCCAGGATTACAGATGCACACCACCAGGTCTAGCCAATTTTTTGAATTTTGATCAATCCATAGTTTTCAAAGTGAAGCTCCTAGATCAGAGGATCAGCATCACCTAGGAACTCACTAGAAATGGAGATACCTGGATCTACTCTAGACCTACCGAGTTGGGTACTCTTGGGATGGGGCTACTGATAGGAACCCTCCTTGTGATTCTGATAAACTAATGTTTGAGAACCATTGCTTTAAACAGAAGATTTATAATAAGGATATCAATATGGCACTCTTTAGCAAAAAGAGGGTACTATTATATTTCAATATCCAAGAGTAAGGTTTAAAAATACCTTATCAATGAGGGTAGAAAGGTGTATTCTATGGTGTTCAAAGTTAATAGTGATTTAGTTTTTAATATGAGAAAGATTAATAAAACTAAATGAATAACTCCTTTTCAAGTTTCTTTTCCTCACCTAATGTTATAGTATCACAACTTTTATTATTGTATTCATCACATCATATTTTGATGGTTAAGCAGTTTCATATTTTGATGGTTAAGGTACCTAAGGGAAGGCTTCCTGTCTTTCTTTTTAGTACTCTCATCAGAGTGTACATATACCAAGTATACAATTAGGTACCCCAAAGGCAGTTAAGAATAAACCGTATGCTTTAGATGAAATGGTGTGCATATGTACAGCCATACTCAAATTGAAACAAATAAATTTCAAACCAAGTGCTATAATTACTGCCTCAGAAGCATGGGGAACATGAAGAGTTTAGAATCTTCCCTTTTAAACTACTATTATGTACACTGTAAGTGCTGAATAAAGCCAAAGGATAATTTTAAAAAAGAAACTTTCTGTTTACTATGGACCTTGATAGCATTTACACATAAATTAAAATTTGCAGATATGGAAGAAATGAACAGAAAAACAGAACTGTGCAAAGATAGTAAGAATGAATGTATTACCTTTTATATGATAATTTTTTACTTACGAGAACTGCCCTATAAGAACCAAATGAGCTTGAATTTAGTAAATAAAGCCAACTGCCAACACATTTACAGGAGAAGTCAAACTGAAGGTATCAATGCTGGGAGAAGACAGCATAGCTTCCTGTGCTCTTCTAACTTATCCCACTGGCTCCCACCATAGATTTGTTTCTGAGATCTCCTTAATATTTAGGAGAGCCCTTGCAACCTCACTAAGAAATGCGGCTGGGTAGGTAAGAACCTCTACTTCACAAGTTAAAATCAGTGAAGGCAAGGATAATCTAACTTGATTTCACATTTAAAAAAAAAAAAAAAAAACTCTTCATGAGAAATCAACTTTTATCTTTA